AAGGACCAATATATTGCAGGCCCAACTTGCCCCGCTTCCTAAAATGGATCACACCTTTCTAAATTCACACCTTCAAGAGTACCATATCCCCAACATGGAACTCCAAGTCGGATTGATGTCTATCAGCATAACTCTTCTGTTGGCTCTCTATTGTGTGCAATCTCCCATGTACCTGCTGGATCAATTCGGTAGTCTGAAACACCACCTCTGTACTACCCATGATTCGTTGGTTGACGTCAAACTAGAAAATCAACATCCCAAACTTCCTCCCATAGAGTATCTCAAACGAATTTCAATCGATGCTAGTGTGGTAGTTGTTGTTGTAAGAAAACCCAGCCATTGGGAGATATGTATCCCAATTCCCGCTAGTGTCTATTACATATACTCAAAGCATATCCTCCAACGTCTAGATAGTCCACTCACTCTGGCCATCAGTATATGGATGAAAAGTTATGCTGAAGTGCAGACGAGTACCCAACTACTAGTTAAATTTCTTCCAGAACCTAGAAGTGAACCGTACATCCCGATCTAAAACCGTCGATACTAAAACCCATGGCGTGCCACAATCTCCTTGATTTAAATATCCCCTAGATGCTCCATAGAGATTCTCTCTTCGATATGAATTGAAATGCACACTCTTGGTCAGTCGATCCACAATGACCTAAATCAAATCTACCTTTTGTGCGGTTCGTAGTGAATTTGTGATAAAATCCATTGTAATCACTTCCTATTTCCAAACGAGAACACCCACAGCTCCATCTTGCCATGAGGTCGTTGATGCTCGACCTTGACTTTCATGCAAGTTAAACACCTCTCCACATACAGGCCATATCCCGCTTCACGTAGGCCCACCAATAATTAAGTTGGAGGTCGATATGCATTTTTTTCGCACCACGATGAATATAGAACCTCGAATTGAGTGTCTCCTCCATCAAAATTTGATGGGTACCTCCAAAATATGGAACACAAACTCTCCGATGCAAGGTCAACAATTCTCGGCTATCATAATCGAAAGAAGATTCCTGACCATCTATATGCTCACTCTTCTGGTGCTCTTGTTTGATCGCCTTGACTTGAGCGCCACGAATATGCTCGAGAAGTAGGGTAATAACAGTCATCCTGAAACACACGTCTCTGATCAGAGTGTTAGCTATCTTGCGGAAAAGAGCATCGACCACCATATCGTCCTTCCCCGGGTAATAACGGATCTCACAAACATAATCCTTCATCACATCAAGCCACCTATGCTACCTCATATTCATATACGGTTGATCCATCAAATACATTAGACTCTTTTGATCCATATAGATATTACAACGGACCCCATACAAATATTGTCACCAAATCTTGAGGGCGGAAACCACAACCTCCAAGTCCAAATTGTGCATAGGGTAGTTCACCTCATGACGCTTCAACTGCCCTGAAGTGTATGCTGTAACATGACCCCACTACATTAATACCTACCCAAACCCATTATTGACACATCATAATAAACTATGAATTAATCCACACCCTCTCGCAGGGTTAGAATAGTCACATCTCAGAAATTCTGCTTCAAAGTCTCAAACGTCGCTTGCTGCTCAGGCTCCCAACGAAATGTGACAGTAATCTTTATTAATTAGGTCAAAGGAATCGCTATATGGGTGAAATCCTAAATGAACCTCCAATAATAAATCGCCAAACTAAGGAAAATCCAAATCTCATATGGAGATCTCAGAACCTTCCACTACATCACCACCTCGATCTTGGTCGAATAGACCAATATACCCTTCTAGTTGAAAAAGTGCCCCATAAATTGCACCTCGCGTAACCAAAACTCACACCTAGAAAAAATTACATAAAAATTCTGTCAGAACAAGATTCAATGTACGAATATGGTTTGAAAACTCAATCCTAGAATCAACCTCAAAGATCAATTTCTGCTTCTAATTAGTTTTCCAGTCCAGTCTAGTAAATCATTCATGACTTGAAGATAATATACAACAAAGTATTCAAGTAGTAAAATGAAGTAAGATTGAGAAATAATCAAACTAAAGATAATTTAGAACAATTAGAATGTAAGTGAAAGAATTTGACTTGCAAGAGAGCTTGAAATCATGTGAATAGAATATAGATTACTTCTATTTTTGGTGTATATTCATGAAAACAGATACTCCTTAAATAGTAAGGAAGAGACATGGTACAAAACCGAGATGAATTCTAAGGACTAGCTAATACAAAGAGTTTGACAAATTTGACACTTAACAAATTTGTTGAATTAGTCCTTAGAACTGTTACATCAACTAAAGACAAAAAGCAATAAATTCTTGTACAAACTCTTACTTCGGAGTCTATCTCATATACAAAAGAAACTTCGTAACATCTTCACATCTAGAAATTGTGTGGCTTCTGATTAGCTTTGATTTTGGATTGCTAGAGGTTCACTTATTTTGTATTAACAATCTCCCCTAAGTATACTTAGCAATCAGTCAACTCAGTTGGCATCTTCAAATATGAAAATGTAAGCACTATGGAGCCAGGTTCAGAATTTCAAATACCATTTAAGGTTATCAATGAACTTCTTCACATACTTAGGAGCATCACTTTTATATGCATTGGTGCTGAAATTTTGAAGGATTGTTGAAGGAACGAAATGTTTATCAAGAACTCGGAAGAGTTCTTTTCGGTTGGTCTTTTTCTTCAGATAGACATATCCGAGCTCAGGTTATTTAGTAGGATCTGCCAAGATTAGAACTTCAGGCAGTTTATAAGTTATCTTCGCCAATATATTTTTTGTTTTGAAAAAGTATGTGAACTCGATGTCGCACCTGAAAATTCAGCTACATAGTCCTTTAGGAACTTTATGACAACATTATAAGCTCCAATGCTAGAATGATTGTATTGTAGATTTTGGAGGTGAGCATTAATTATGATAATTTCATTAGGATTGATAGATGGAAAGTCAACATCTGTGATAGTGATTGTAGCTTCCTTGTTCCGAGAGATGTACTATTTGTACAACATTCAATTAAGGTCAAATTTGCTCTAAACCTTGTTTCTAAAACCAACAATCTTTGTGATCCGCTTTCGATACCACACTTCTTTTTGTGGACGCCTGTTAACAGAATAGAACATTCTTAATCTCGATCGCTCGGTCATGATAATAGTTTAAGGATCATCATTAGGATGAAAAGGAGCGAATTTCATGTAGAATTTTCCTTGCGGAGAGATTGGAATATCGATTTGGTTGAAGTCTTGAGTGGGAAGATCGAAATACATGAAAGGGATAATGTCGAGATCGTGAATGATCTATTCTCGGAAGAGGGGGGATATGCCTACCAACAGATTCAGATTATCTTTCAAACTACTCTTGGGACCAGCCTTCGAACTTTATGAAGGTCCTTTTAGGGCTATTTGGTTCGGAATCAATTTTCTATCCTTTGTCTTATGGTGGCTTGTTTAAGTTAGCAATAACTTGTTGTACTGTTTCTGAAGTAATGAATTCAGGAGGAGGAGTGATCAAGGGCTCTTCAGGGAGATCATCCAGTTTCTAAGTAGGAGAACCTTCATCGATCGTAATGATTCTCATAAAATGAATTGGAGGCATCATGGATTGTGTAGCTCGGAAGGCATCAACAATTACCTTTGTATTGATCTTTGATATTTCACGACTTATTTGGAGCACATCTACCAAGGATGGTGAACAAGAACCAATAGACCATATCCTTTTTTTCTTCTTCTAAAAGAACCTTGGTTGGATATTCCCTAGGAACTTGAAGACATACAACAACATTCTTGATTTGATCTTGATCTTCTTCATCTTCTACATGGTCCATAGATTCAACCTGGATCAAGTCTTCACCATCAGATTCATCATGTATTGTGAATTCTGAGTCAGATTTCAATTGGATTGTTCTACCCTACGACTATGTCCTTCTCCCCCTATTGCGTCAGAAGGCCTACCATCTGATGCAAGTCTAGAAGTTGCTTGAAATTTTGTTAATCTTTCGAATACTCTATAAAAACTCATATTGAATCGTTTACAGAGAGCATTGTAGGCTTCATAAGTGGGAGCTTGGGCTTTAAGGTGATCAAACAGAGATCCCAAATTTGAGATCATTTCATCGAACTTATTATTCGGAATGTCAATAATGCTCCAACATGCTAAGAGCAGTCTGATTAGGACCTGTTGCATTATAAAGTTTAGTTCATCCTTCTTCTTAATCTCCTTCTCCAAATGTTGAATTTCTTTTTCATGACACACATGATTTTTTTGACCAATTCGTTGGTGGCATTGATCATGCCATCATGAATCTTTAGCATTGTAGTGGTGGTGTAGATGTGTTGATCAAGGCTATCATTGTACTTATGTTCAACTTCCTCCAATGTATGCTTGAATCGAAGAGAGATAAGTTGACCAAGTTTATTGGATCTTTCCACTTCCGAGGGGCCATCTTATTTAATCTCGGAAAGAGATTTAAGAATAATGAAAAGTTTGGAGTCGATGATACACTACAAGAAAAAGACCCTTTTACGACGCGCAAACCACGACACTCATTGATTTATGTTACGCAAAAGAGAGTGACATTAAAAAAGAGTCATATCTTCAAAAAATTTAAGGATTTAGGTCATGCATTATTGTGTGCCCTTAACTTAATGTCTAAACCAAAAAAAAAACACAGAGGGCACATGTGTGTCATCTAAGGATGTCGCTTTATAAATTTTAATGGAACGCGCGTTCCATCCTTTATTAGAGGGGGAAATGAAATCCTAAAAAATTAAAAACCCCGCTTTTCTTCCATCTTTTAGGGTTTCCATGTAAACCCTAGACCTCATTTGTAGGTTTCGTTCTGTGATCAATTTGTTGTTGTTCGGGAAGGAATAACGAATTCATCCTCTCCATCAGCCGACAACCTTCACTCTCTGCTTCTCCTTTTCTCTGTAAACCCTAGACCTCATTATGCGGCTATAACTCTTCCTCCCTTTTGTATTTTTGGAGTTTGGCAGCGATATAGTGGTCAATGATGTCAACTATCCTCTTTTATCTACCATTTTCTCCCTCTGAGACATTAAATACACGCCATCCCAAAATTGGAAGAACTATGGCTTTTGTGTGCTGGATCTCACAGGAAACAGGTTTTCCTCGTCCCCACCCTCACCCATCCAAATTCCTTCTTCTTCAAATGATTATATGTTCTCACCTCTCAACCGTACCTGAATGGATATCTCTGTCTCTCTTGTATCTATTCTCCCAATATCTCTCGTGCTTTCCTATTTACAGCTAGAGTTTGAGAGCGAAAAGAAAAAAGAAAAGATGTGCCTTTTCTTCCTCTTTCTTCCCCTTTTGTTCCTCTGGTTCGATCACAACCCTTCTTCTCCCTTCTTATTATTTCTTTTTTTTTCGATTTGCAGGTGAGGGTGTGAGGTGGCGTTCGAAGGTTGTCAAGGGGTTGTGAGGAGATGATGGCTGGTGATTGTTCGGTAATGGAGAAATAAGGGTGTGTTTGTGTGACGAATTAACAAATTTTAGCAAACTCCAAGTGCAGAAGCCCTAAAATTTTAAGAAACTTTCAGATGGAAAAAGGGAGAAAAGAAAAGAACAATGTATAGAGAATAAGGAAAAAGAAACGGAGAAATAACTAAATCCATCTTCGATCCCAACCAGATGTATGTAAGATTTTCTACACTTTTTATTTTTTGTCCCAATGTTGGCTGGATTGTCTGATTTAACATCTAACTCGAGACCAAGAAAAGCAAGCAACAGCGAGCACAAATCATATCCATAGAGAGACGGCGCACAATCAGTGAATGCTGCGAATCTCATATCTTCCTGGAGTCCTCTTCCTGTAACAACAACAAAGATCTGCTTTCGTGTTGTTACTGATCTTAGCCTGCTCCGTTTGAATAGTGAGTTTATCAGATTTTCTAGGACTTGTATTCATCCCGATTGTCACTGATTTGAGATTTTATCGAGAATTTAAACTGATTCAAAAGATGTATTTTCGTTTTACCATGTGAGTGCAGAAGAACTTCAATTGCACTCATAAATCTTGTTGTCTTCTCAGGCTTTCGAGATGCCGATCTCAAGTACCTCTTTTGATTTTTGAGATGCCGGGATTGTTTAAATCAAATCTTCTAACATTTGATGTTGTTGGCTATAATCCATGGATATAACTAGGGTGGCTCAATCCTTCCAGACCCACAACTTTTTTGATCTGGTTGTCTAATAGATTAAACTATTATCCTTTTTCATTTGTTAATTAATTTGACTTTGTGACAAGCTGATTCTTGCTACCATTCTTGATCTGTTCTTAACCTTATAAAATCAAGGGGCATATTATATCCCTTTCTCCATGCCTTATTGGCTTATTTTATTTGATTCATATCTTTTGTCTGTTGCACTTTCGCAAGGGTTTTTTTAGTCTTCTTTACTTACTCTATTTCCGTTGAGGTTTTGTATTGTTTCTTTTTTCAAACTAAGAAAGTTTTACCTACTTAATTTGGTAAATCAAAACAATATTGATTAAATGTCATTGAAGATGTGAAATGAGTTTGTTAGATAACTTGCTCTAGGTTAATCGAGTTTACATGAAGCTAATATGACAATGTAATAATATCAAACTAACACAATGGAACCATGGTTGTGTTTATTCCTGTATCTCTCTCTCTCTCTCTCTCTATATATATATATATATATAATTGATCTAATAAGATCACCTTACTCTTTTCTTATGAAAAAATTTATCATCTCTCTATAGTCTATGTCTATATACATAAGACATGACACAACACAATGGCATTACTCTGTGTCTAGTGTGCATTGAGTGGACTGATGTCAATTGGATAAAATTGTAATCTTTTTTTTGTCTCGTGTAACAAACACAGCCTTAATTATGGAAGTTCTCATTTTACCATTTGGATTTTTTTTCTTCCAATTTTGGGTTTATATTTTTGTAATGGTTAGTGGATGCCTTGTTTCCTTGGCTAATCGGTTTTCTTGTTTGTAATTGTAGGACTGCGTGAGAAGCATAAACAAGAACTCAAGAATATGACATTAATAGCACAACCTTTCAAAACATTGAAGCTTTTTATAGTGGTTGTTCTTCAGTATATAACAAGATCACTGGTATACCTTCTGACACATGTTGTCTGGCTTATGCTTCTTGTTACACTCACAGTTGCAGCTGGACTCTTGTTTCTGTCTGTGGATGGTCCTCATGGAAAGCCTATTACTTACATTAGGCCATTACAACTACATATTTCTGCAGTTTTATTTGAAATAATGATGTATATTAGTTCTCTCAAATGAAAGCTTCTATTGATCACGAGATCATCCATAAAACCGAGTAAATACCATTTTTTGGTCTATATTTATTGATCTTTATTAGTTGTTTTCCAAGAAAAGCATAAAATCAAACCAAAACCCAAAATCAGTTGTACATTGATCTTCAATAGGTATTCTGTTTGTTAACAAATTCTTTGCCTATGATTCATGGTACTCAAAGTTCCTTCAAATTATCGATGAGGTTGTAAGTTCCTTGGTTTTCATGATTATATGTTACATATTAATATATAATGATGAATATGTGATACATGTGTTCTTGTAGCATGTTGAAGAGCTTCTTGAATATGCAAGGTTTGGACTGTGGTGGGTAGCTCTTGGTGTTGCATCTTCCATTGGTCTTGGTGAGCTCAATCAACTTTATCCCCATTATCATTTATTGTTATTATTATAATAATAGTCAATAGCTAATTTAATAAAAAAATACTTCTTAGTGGCTAAATCAATAAAATGGTGAAAGTACAAGTGTTGTTCTGTATTTTTCCCTTTAGATAATTATATTCTTGCATTTTCGTTTATTATGTTCTTTTTTGGAAACCAAAGTTTTTGAAGTTTTGTTAAGTTGTATTTGTAATTAATTGATCAGGGTCTGGGCTGCACACTTTTGTTCTATATCTGGGTCCCCACATTGCTTTCTTCACAATAAAAGCAATGCAGTGTGGTCGGGTGGATCTTAAAAGTGTTGTTTATGATACAATAAAGTTAAACAGAAGCCCTACATGGCTTCAAAAGGATTGTTCAAACTTTGGGCCTCCATTGTTTTTTTATCCTCTCAAGGTGTTCAGGTTCCACTTAGCAGCATTTTGACTCAAGTACAAGTAGAAGCTATTCTTTGGGGCCTTGGAACTGCATTAGGAGAGCTACCTCCATATTTCATTTCTAGAGCAGGGTTCTTATTATTATTATTTTTCCTTTTCATATATTGCTATTCCCTTCTCAAATTGCTTTTTTTCCTCATTAAGTGATACACTGATAAAGTGCTATCTAGATAAATGATGTTTGTGAAAACATGACAGAAAATTATTTGAATATTGTTTTAAAAATGACAAAAAATGTACAATTTTTTGCAGCAAGTATCTCGGGTGATAAAATGGATGTGACAGAAGAACTGGATGCTTCCTCATCAGAGAATAATGGAGTTGCTTCAAACTTAAATCACATGAAGCGTTGGTTCCTTTCACATGCTCAATATTTAAAACACAGCTCCTTTACAAAATTTGAGTCATAGTTTTTTAATAATAGTGTTATTGTGTTGATTTAACAAAAGTGTTGGTGGGTTCATTGGTATTTTTATGCATATTTGATTAAATTAATTGATCAGGGTAAGTATCTCTATATATGCTGGAATCAGGGGAGGAATGGAATTCTTCATTCCATTGGAATGGAAAGAAAACATTTTGTTTTGTCTAATTCAACGGAATGGGGAAAACCCTACTCTTTTTTTTCCTTATAATTCTATATGTATGAGTTATTAGCATGATCTGTTAAATTTTGATAAACATGGGCAGCATGTTAGGCGTGCAGTTGTTTTGCCTTTGAGTATAGCTGGCCACAACAAGCCAAATCTCATCAAGGGCCTTCTTCCATAACTGTTGCCACTTATTTATGCAGAACTCATAGGCAGGTTTGGAATATTAGTTTTAGACATAATTATATTATTTTATCTGTTAACACATGTTCATCATCTAAACCTGGTATGCGGTATTTCAATTGATAAATATATTTATCAAGATTTTGAGTTGGCCATATTTATTTAACATTTGACTTTATATTTGCAAGTGCGTTTAATACGATATTGTGTGGAGGGCTCCCTTTTTTTGGTGTATGAGTTCATTGAAAATGGAAACTTAAGTCAACATTTACATGGAACAAGTGAATTTAAGTTCAATTGTATATAAATGAGTTCATTTTTTTATAAGATTTATTCACTTTTGGAATAATTATTTGTATTTGACATATTAGTGAAATGAATTATCTTTGTTATTTATGGTATTTTATTTTGTATTATGAGATTTTTAATTTATTATTTAATTTGAAAATTAGTAAATCTATATATAATATATTTTTTAAACATTTAAATTATGATACACAAAAATGTGTGTCATCTTCATTTATGACATGACCTTTCCTGACAAGGGCTTTCTTGATACGCATTGCGTGTCATTAACACGCGCGTCGTAAGGTTACGACACGCAAATGCGTGTTGTCTTGCTTTATGACAGGGCCTTCCTTGATACGCATTGCGTGTTGTAAACGCGCGTCGTAAATGAGCGTCGTAAATGCGCGTCGTCTCTCTTTATGACAGGGCCTTCCTTGACGCGCATTTGCGCGTCGTCTGAGCCTTTTACGACGCGCAATGAGCGTCGTAAAAGGTTGTTTTTCTAGTAGTGATAGTAAATTTCTAATCAAGGTTTGAGTCGAGTTAAGCCATAGTTTTGTCAAAAGAAACGACTTTTGAGACAACACTTGCCACATTGTCTCAGAGGTCTAGTTGGTTAAATGGATATGTTATGTTTTCGTCCGAGGAGCCAGTGTCCGAAGTAGAACTCTTAGACTTGCTATCGTTATCATCACCATCTTTATCATCATGTGGTTCGGAAGGAGTGGGATTTGTCTCAGATTTGTTACCTTCATTAGGATTCGTTTCAGTTTCATTCCCTTGAGTGTCTTGAATGTTGGCAATAATTTGTATTTCTTCTTTTCTTGTTCCGAGGAGGATGAGGAGAGACCAAAATCATGAACTAGATTAGAATAGGATGGTTTCCGCAAAAAGACTTGAATGTTAAAAATATTGCAAGAGCACCAACGAAAGCACTATCATCATCGAACATGAATTAACTTGAGTGTTCTTCATCGAAGGGTGGCTTGAAAGCTTCATCATGTGGTGAACTCAGAGGAGAATCATCTGAAATGATTGTTGTATCATGAATTTCTCTTGTGGTTGCAGTCTAGGATGGATTGGAAGAGATAAACTCTTGATCTATTTCTTCATCAATTCGAGCAGAGAATGGCCAGTTTCTATAGATGGCCTATGATGCATGGAGATAAGAGTGCACTCTACTTTAGCTCTTGTCAGCTCCGGATGATGAATATGTGCCCTATTAACAAAATCAAACCATTGTTCGTCAGCAGTACCTGGTTGTCCTTTACTTGAACCAGGTATCAGACTAGTTGAGGCTTTGGAAGTCGAAGGGACAACTCTAGCTTCTGAAATCTTGTAATCCGGGGCAGGGGCCCCATATTTTCCATGTGTAGAAGAAATAGGTATGTTCGAAGAGACATGTAGGTGTGTTCTAAGGGGCTTCAAGCAACTTTCTTTAATACATGCACCATCTTTTTGGGAAGATGGGGGTAGATTATGTGCAGACTCCTCATGAGTATGTGCTTTTGTTTATGAAACTCTGAAGGGTACTTCGGAAGAGTAGATGGGAGGGGTTATTGATTTCCAAACTCATATGGAATGTCAATGTGTGATTGCTTTTGAGAGGAACCTCTCACTTTAGGTTTCTTTTTAGCTGAAGCTTTTGAGGGTGATGTTTTTCTTTTCGCCATCTTTTTATTTCGGCCACCAGTGGTGACTGGTTTGTTCACATTTGAGGGCTAATCATCAGAGACCGGGGCAAGTCATACATAATCGAAGTCTCTAAATGGTGTTTGAGAAAAATAGAGTTGGATGCAAGTGTTGCCAACATGTGTTGTGGAAAACGACGAATAGGTCCGAAAGAAGTTTGGTTTGGAAGCCTATAAGTTCTAATGGCCCTGAAAGAAATATATACCTTTATAGGATCGAAGTTGATGGGGATGTATTCTATCCTTTCCTTATAGATTTATTGGAGGGTCTGAGCCCAAAATCTTGGACTCGATATTTCATTTGGCTTCCTCTTGATGGAAATCCTCCGAAAGTATAGCCGTAGAACCCCAATCAAGTCAACAACGTTTCTTCATCCTTAGTAGATGCTATATACATCATATAGCCAGTCCTTGCTCATTGTGTCAGTTGTGCCATGCTTCGCTGATAATCCTAGAAAGATTAGATGCGTCAATATAGTCCATAGTCTGCAAACCGTCGATTTTTGGAACTTTTTAGCTCTAAACACGCCATTATACACAATTTCATTCAGAAAAGTCTGAATCTCTTCAGATGAGTGTTCATGAACTTGAAAACCCTTGGGGTTTTCTCGGATACCACTTGTTTTTAGAAATGTTTGCTTGTGTACAAGGATGACCCTATCACCTATGATTTTGACTTCAAGAACACATCTTTGATCTTAATTCTTTCAAATGATTTGTAAAGGATGCATAATGGAAGTTTAGGGTTTAGAGTTTTGGTAAGTGGAATAGAAATGGGGTGTTGGGAGACGAACACAATCATCACTTGAATGGATTTATCATAATCTATGGGGTCGAGTGAGAACAGTTGGGTAGTCTCTCTTAGAATTAGTTCAATGGATGATGCAAATGCAGAACCCTTTAATGATTTCTTCTTAGTTGCAGGTTTTTAGGTTTCAGGAATATTTTGTGAGGACACCATTGTTGAAGGTTTGGAGGCTAGAAGACCATGATGCAGAGAGAATTTTCTGGAAAAAGATGAATATAGCGTAAAGTGGAACAATTGGCATTAGAAAACCTTTTAAATGTTGGATTTTCCGGGTCAGGTTGAATGGAAGGTAATGATGACACCTGAAGGAAAAATGGGTCGCATTAAATGTGTTGCCAAAATTAGTATTGTTAAAACTTACAAATGCAAAAGATTGGACATCTATTCCTGCCAAAATGGAAAAATGGTGTTTCAATTATGGAGTTGACGTGCACTTGATTAGAATATGTGCCCAAGCATGTTTTTTGTGAGTTAACGGATAATCATCCTGAAAAATTACCATTAATTTAAATAAGAAAACGATTCTGAATTTAACGATGAAAAATTCAACAGATTTACATTCCGAGACATGAAGGATTAGAGCTCGGACAAAGATAAGAGATGAATGCACATTACCATTTCAGATTTAAATTCCGTGGTGAAATTCATAACACTTCATTTTAAAATAAATTCCAAGGAGTAATCAAAGCGAAAACACCAATGTAACTATAGTGGTCAGGATCTTCAAAAGATGTGGAAAGTTATACAACTTAAAACTTGAAGAAGAGGTCAAAAAAAAATACACATAAAATGATCCTATATTTTCCAAGAGGAAATGATTCCTAGATGAATAGTTTTTGACTTAGGAATTATTTCACTATTTGATGTTTCCATCATATAGTACAAGTCTCTTGGAAGAATTTTGGATCAGGCATCATCAATACCATTTTGTTCAGAATCCCAATAAATTTGATTTCATCTAATGCCTTAGTAAAAACATTAGCAATTTCATTGTCACATGGAACAAAAATAAGTTCGAAGTTTTCTTTTAAAACATGATCTTTAATTTGATTAAATGTTACAAAATATCGATGTGCTTCGTCATAAAGTGCTGAATTGGATTGTGAGAAACTGTAATGGTACTTTGAGAAGCACAATATATTGGAATTTGTTGAAATGAAAAACCATAATCCAATAGCTGAGATTTCATCCAAAGAGTTTGTGAAGTGCAGCTTGCAACAACAATGTATTCTACTTTGACTGTTGAGATAGCAGTAGAGTTCTGCTTCTTAGATTACCAACTAACCAATCTTCCACCCAAAAAGTGACACCCTCCTCAAGTGCTTTTTCTATCTAATTGAAGACCTCCATAGTTTGAATCAGAGTATGACTGAAAAAGGAAATTTTCATTTGTTTGGTACCAAATGTTGCAGCTCGTTGTTCCTTTGAG